TTATATTTTACAGCAACATCATAGATAAATATGCTGACTCTCCATTTTGGTCTGTTGCTCTTCAGTTTGCAGCCTTTTTCAGTTTGCTGCTAATTTTTGTAGTTTTTCTTTTGCTTCTATTTTCTGTTTTTGCAGCATTTAGTTTTTATTTGTTGTTGCTTTAGTTTTCTTTTGTGTTTTAATATTTGCATCATTAAGGCGTCTGTAGTGCATTTCACCATTTGGGACTCATTAGCATCTGTTAGCTAATGTGGCTTGGCTAACCTTCATCCAATTTGCACAAATCAGTAAGAAATCTTGAACCAAAATAGAAGTTGGTCAGCGTCACCATGATGAGCTCGGAGGACCTCAATGATCCAGGGTTCATTTCTTTTCTTCTTTCTTCTGCAGATCTGCCTTTAAACAAAAGGAAGAACATCTAGAATCAGTTAATAAAAGGTATTGTTCACACAACAGGCTAACAGAACGTGTCTCAGCTCTTGATGTTATGAATCAACAACAAACAGTTTTCCTAGTTAGTTGTTATATAAAACGTTCAATGCATTGAAAGTCCTCTGATGTTCCTGCTGAATCTGTTGTAAAGGAAATAATCTGTTCTATCTTTAACTCAGACTGACTGAAGCAAAGACTTCTCTAGAAAATGAGCTTCATCAAATCAGGTCAGTATTTTTTACAGTCAGTTTTCAGATGATCCAGTCAATAAATAATTACTGACATGTGGAGGTGATCTTTATTTGGTAGACAAAAGGTTCAAAGTCTCAGAAAAATAGACCACAAGCAACAAAGAGCTTCAAACATCCATCCGTCTTTTTCCACTGATCCATCAGGGTCACTGTGGGGCTGCTGCCTTTCTCCAGTAGTCTATGGGTCAAAGATGGGGTCAAACTGGAGGTGACGTTTTCTAGATGACGTTTCTTCTCTCATCCAAGCTTACTAGAAAACGTCACCTCTAGTTGCCTAACCTGAACTTTCCAAGCTTGACCAGGACCTGGATGACTGAGAATCTTCACAGATATGTTTGGGATCAATCTTTATTCTAAAGGCTCTTCTCCTCAGCTGCAAGAGAAAGAGGCAGGAAATGTGAAAAAATAGCAGGTGACAGCAGTGAATAACTTCTATAACAAGGAAAACCCAGAAGTAATTATCTGTACCAGTAATGTGGTTCTGATATCCCAGAAAGTATCCTGAGGATCAGAAGAGTGTTGGACCTCGGACAACCTCATCATACTTTAGATGGATGACATCAGAAGCATTGCAGGAGAATTTAATCCAAACCTTTTCTACCTTTTTTCTGGGGAAATAAATTAAATGGTTGAAATAAACAAGTGCTGCAACATCTGCCAACTTCATTGAAAACTTTTATATTTCAATGACAAAAGATCATTTAAAGAAATATGGTTTCTGTCTTAATAGGTCTACACTGTAACAACCCAGTATTCAAGGCAAGACAGACAGTGGGATAATTCATAAGCATTCAAAAACAGATCTGTTGTTGCAGGCGCTAGGGCTTCTATCACCCTGAGAGGAAACACAGGTTAGCGA